AGATATTTTTAAATTTTACTGTTTTCTGCTTTGCAAATTTGCTGAAGCTGTAAGAATTGTATTTTTAGTCTTCTATTCATACTGTATGGGACAGGAGCAACAGTGTGGACTTTTGCTGCTGTAACTTATCTGCTTCAAGGTTTTATGTGTTCAGAGATGCTTACCTTGCTTATCTGCATACCTCAGTTGTGATGTGAGTATCATTCAATCGCTTATTTTCCTTCAGCTTAGTCCCTTATTTATTAGGGGTCGCCACAGCAGAATAAACTGCCAACTATTCCAGCATATGTTTTAAGCAGCGGATGCCCTTCCAGCTGCAACCCGGTACTGGGAAACACCCATACACACTCATTCACACACACACCACTCGTACACTGCGGCCAATTTAGTTTATTCAATTCACCTCACTGAAAAAAAATATTCAAAGATGATTCCTTGGATTTACTCAATTTTTTTACGTTAAGTGGTTGTAAACAATTTATTTGGGCTGAATTTAAACAAACAAATTAAGTTGAACATTACTAAATTGAATTTGTTTGTTTAAATTCAACACAAATAAATTGTTTGCAACAGTTCTGCATGCAGCACTTTTTTATAGCGCATGTTTTTGGACTGTGGGGGAAACCGGAGCACCCACGCCAACATGGAGAGAACATGCAAACTCTGCAAAGAAATACCAACTGGCCCAGCAGGAACTCGAACCAGTGACCTTCTTGCTGTGAGGCAACAGTGCCACTGAGCCACCATACCGCCCCAATGTGAGTATCAATTTGAATAAATATTGCCTTTCCATCAACCTGAACCAGTTTGGATATTAATCTCAGATCTCTGCCGTCCACAAAGCATTTTTGCTCACAGAACTGACGGACAGTGGATATTTCCTCTTCTTCAGACCATTCTCTGTCAACCCTACAGATATCTGTCTGTGAAAATCCCAGTAGATCAGCAGTTTCTAAAATACTCAGACCAGCCTGTCTGGCACCAACATTCATGCCATTTTCAAAGTCACTTAAATCCCATTTCATCCCTATTCTGATGCTCTTTTGATCCTCTCATACATTCCTCAATGCAAGCTGCTCTTATTGGCTGGTTAGACATTTGTGTTAATGTACAGCTGAATATGTATACCTTAGAAAATGGCAGTGAGTTACTGTGAAAATTAATTATCTTGGTTATGCGAATTTGTGCCCTTCACTAAAAAACTGTCTGGCTTTGTGTCATGAATAACAATGAGGGTCTGCTGATAGGTGAAACTTGAGGACTCTCCAATTCAAAAGTGTGAGATGAAAAGCGAAACAATCCCTACGATAAATAACCCTTCCTGCAACTGCTTATAAACACACATATTTTATACAGCACCATCTTTGTGTGACACAAGCCTCATTACATGCACAGCTTTTCTCTTTTACCATCTGGAAGCAGGAGAAGAAAAGATACAATACCATTGTTTTCATTCCACAAAGGACTTGATTGAAGTTATTGATAATTTGCATTGATAGAATAGAGAAGCCACCAAATGCAAGACACAGTGTCTCCCGTTCATGCATGCTACTGCGAGATACGAAGCAAGAGGAAGCAATTAGACACATAAGATGTGCCTTCCTGAGGACATGCCCTCAACCACTGCGACTTTTATATCAAGTTAATTATGATTCAGAAATGCTAATTAGAAAAAATGCAGCCCAGATAGGATAAGTCGAGAATAGTGTGTTATATAACATATTAGCTGGCATCCTTCATTTAACAGGCATGTAGCACTTGTGGCCAGAGTATAAGCATCGAAAGCATGCTGACCTACACAAAGGTGAGCTGTGCGATGAAGGTATATGTGTGAGCATCTCAAATATCTGGTCCCTAGATGTGTGACTGTCAGGAGCCAAACACAGTCAGCAGTCTCTCAAAAGAGGGAGGCCATATTTCACTAATAAGCATTTCATCACTGAGCGAACTCCACTGTCCTGATCAATCAATTACAGAGGACGACCCCAAGTGGGACAGTGGAGGAAAGGACAGGATAGGGATGTGTCTGTCTGAGTGAATCCTGTGTTGTAGATGCTACACTATGTGTGTTTGCACAGATCCTGTCTGACGAGAGCAGGAGCAGCTGGGAAGCGATGATGGAATCGGCCTGTTGCCATGGAGACCACAGCATCACACAGAATTCCAAGGACAATGGAATGTCACGATGTGAGTCTGATATTCCCAGACACAAGACAAACATGACCTCACACAAGTGCTGCCATCAGTGAGGACCAGCAGCAAGCGCAGCGTTCCAAGAGTGAATGATTCATGCGGTGAAATCCACTGTCTAAATAACTTACTGCACAGAACGCTACTGATCCATGAACTCACAGTATGGTTTGTTCATGGGTTCATCAACTAAGCTGAATAGTCATACATGGTCAACTCTGTCCTTACGTAGTCTCTCTGAGTTGCTTAAATGTTTTGTTTTGGCCAAAAGTACCAAAATTCATACAATTGTGTAATATCTCAGATCCCTGGAATGGTTACGGTAATGGGCAAGCTTTCAAAAACTCATATATTGTCATATACCTAATATTCCTTTGGCTTAGTCCCTTTATTCATCAGAGGCCGCCACAGTGGAATGAACCGCCAACTTATCCAGCATATGTTTTACACAGCGGATGCCCTTCCAGCTGCAACCCAGTACTGGGAAACACCCACACCCACTCATTCACACACATACACTACGGCCAATCTAGTTTATCCAATTCACCTATACTGCATGTCTGTTGAGTGTGTGGGAAACCATAGCACCTGAAGGGAAACCCACACGAACACGGGGAGAACATGCAAACTCCACACAGAAATGCCAACTGGCCCCGTCGGGGCTCAAACCAGCGATCTTCTTGCTGTGAGGTGACAGTGCTAACCACTGAACCACTGTGCCGCCCTTGTTTTCATACACTTCTCATCATACAAATTGAAATTTAAACTATCTTCAAAATGGTTATGTTTCCCTGTGAGATCCCTGTAAACCAGGGGTGTCCAAACTCGGTCCTAGAGGGCCGATGTCCTGCTGACTTTTGCTCCAACTTGCTTCAACACACCTGCCTAAAAGTTTGTAGTACAGCTTATTAGCTTGTTCAGGTGTGTTTGATTAGGGTTGGAGCTAAACTCTCCAGGACACTGGCCCTCCAGGACTGAGTGTGGACTTGCCTGCTGTAAACTGCACCAGCATATGGATTGAAGCAAAGGACCCTACAGCTATACTTTCTTGTTTATTTGTGTATGTGTGTGTGGCAACACTAGATTTAACACTAGATAGAGATATATATTCACTATAAAATAAAATAAATTTTTTTGCATTATAATGCTTATATAAATGCTTTATTCTACATTGCCATTACTAATCATTCTCCATAAATAAACATAACAGCTTTTTTGTCTAATTTAATGAGAACTGTCAGTGAATGAGTACGTTTACATGGACATCTGTAATCAAATGATTTGCCTTAATCTGAATAAGATAATAATATGATTAAGGTGTTTACATGAGTTTTTGAATGTTCCTTTCATGATCCCGTTTTACATGTTATAGCACATAATTTGATTAACATCATTGCGTCAGCACGCTATCCACATTTTCTTGTTTCATGTAGCCTAATTTTGGATGTTACATTTTTGATTTGTCAACTTTAACTGCAGTTTGGCACTTTCACTGTCATTTAGAAACATTTCATGCACAAAAATCCTACCTGAAGATAATAGTTTGATTAAGCTTGTCTATCAACCTTTAGCACACTGTCCAACAACACACCTGCATGTCTGTACTGCACTTCAAGAACATGACTGAAATCGCCATACTCCACATGTCTTAATCTGATTTCTGTTGAGTTCGATTAAGAGCTCAATCAGATTAAATTGATCTAAATTTGATGTTTACATGGTAGACTCTTCATCAGAGTGTTGTCTTAATCGTATTAAAATTGTATTTTTAGCATCTATGTAAATGTACTCATAGTCACTAATGTAAAATGTGAGAGCATATATACAGATTGCATATAGTGTCCTGTGTCCACAGTGAATTTGTGGGTCAAGAATGTAACTTTTAACAAAAAGGGGGCCTTGAGCAAAAACCCCATGCACAGGGCTTAGAATTTCTAGCTACACCACTGGGAACAACACTGCAATATTTCAGCAACTGTTGTTTATACTGAACATCTGTGAATGCTTTGGCCCAAGAGGAAGCTCATTAATAAAAACACACCCAAAACCGAAATAGCACCTGAGACATTTTCATTGCTTTCAAGTTCCTCTAGAAAAGAAAAATATATATGCTGCTCCTCTCATGGTTTTCTGACAATATATCATCAAGATGACTCATTAAAACAAGCACAAACTTACCATTTACATCAATATAAAGAGGCAGCAATGCATTAAACTAAATATAACTCATTAATCACATTTACTTTCACAAATGAATCTGTTTCCCATTCATGATTTTGGGCTGCCTTAGAAAAGCGGTGTAAAAACACATCCCCTGAATGCAGAGATGCAGAGCAGAAACAGTCTGTGTCTAGAAACACATCTTTTGAATTGCACAACAATGTGTCTGGCCAAACAACAGGAGATCTGAATCACCATTACAGTGCACTATTACAGTGTCTTCCAGCATCTGTCACCGTGGACAGTTCGCCCCGAGAGCCAGTTTAATGTATGAAGGAAGCCTTTGCACTAGTGTCTCATCCCACTGATGTGACTCTCTCGGCACTGTACGTGACAGGTGACCCGCCGCTCTCTAAAGGCAGCAGACGGGTCACAGAAACTATGATTCAGTCAACGCGCAAGCCAAAGGAAAATTCGTAAGCCGTTAATTAGCCATTACGCATTGCAGCCCTTGTGCAGAGTCCAGATTCGTGGAGATGCTCGCGGATTTTCCCGCTTGAATGCGCAGCATCAGCATCCCGAGCATTAAGACACGTGTGTCGGAGACGGGGAGCACCCGACTGTGCTGATGAAAACATGTTAATACCGACCTGAACCGTGCAAGTGTATTCCGAGTCGTCCAGCAGTCGCACCGTGCAGTTGAATTCCCTGTCAAGACTCCGATCGCTGCCACTCATCAGGCGGCTCAACATATTGGCCAGTCAGTAGAGACGCACGAGCGTTTAGGACGAGCGCAACATGTCACTCACTGCAGACGTGTCAGACAGACCCTTCTCGCTGACCACAAGCCTTTTTGAGTCATTACTCCCCATCGTTATCCTTTGGGCTGGACGGTGTGGTCTCCTCTGCCGGTGGTGGTTCTATGCCAATGTTGGAGGTAGTCCAATGCACTGAATAGACTCAGGCACAACAGCCCATCCATATTCATGCATTATTTCTGGGGAGGGCTGAGGCGGGCTGTATTCATAAAACTAAAAGCCAGTGAGAGTCGATGTTCCTAAATATTTAGATTTATTTCTTAAATATCTGAACCTTATTACGAGTTTCTGTCCAGAAAGGCGTATTTTTTGTTTTATTTATTTACTTTACATATCTATGATCTGCAAAGTGTCTTGTTTATGAATATCTGGGATTCCCTGTTTTCTTGAGAATTTTTATTAAATCCACTGAGGTCTTCCTTCAGAAATCTTTCCTGGTTTTCTTGCAAAATAAGTCAATAAAAAATGCAGACGCACATCCCCAGGCGGCGAAAGACTCATTCAAAATGCAAATGATGCTCTACTTGGCATCAAGTCTGCATTTTCCTATAAAGTAAGTCTTTGATATGACTGTGACTGTATGATATTTAGAGGAGTCATAATCCAAAACTTTGCTTTTAATTATTAGGGTTACACAAGGCAGAGGTGTAAACAAATTAAAGTAGAGCATTAGTGACTTGATAAATCAATAAATATCAATTCAGTTCAGCATCTAACGTTGATGTATGCAAAATGGGATCGATATTTTGAACCGCACATTAAGTTGATGTTTGAGTTTGACTCTTAAATATGGGACAGACAAATCTTATAATAAAACAACTCATGCAATTAATATAGAACTGTGCTTTTATTCATTCAGTTTACATAAGGCAGGACTATGAACAACTCAGTTTAATGGTGTTAATGACAAACTAAATGATATATCAAATCACTTCAACTTCATAGGTTAAGGTATGCAAATTTAAATATATGTAACAATATTTTAAATTGCACATAGATTGAGGTTTCAAAAATATGACTCAAATTTTTTTTTACAGACATCATGTAAACTTTTTAAAGTAATAAAGTTGGGGAAAATGTGCAATTCTGCATGCAGAAGGCACTTTCATATTCATATATATATATATATATATATATATATATATATATATATATATATATATATATATATATATATATATAAATTCCATAGTCATATTATTATAGTCAGCACAACAAACTACTTTGTATTCTATTTAACAGTGTATATTAAGGCTTTAGGAATTTAAAGTTGACACACGCACACACACAGTGGACAACACAGAGGTTTTCACAAAATAAACAACACCAGTACAAACCAAGAACAAGTCAGAATAAAGGTGCAACATTGCTGCAGTATTAAGCAATGCACATTAAGACCAATTTGAAAAACTATACAGGGTACTCAATTCTGTATATATCTTTCAGTACATTATCGCTAAGGCATTTTGTTTGACATAGAGGTAATTTTGGTTGGATGCAGGCATCAAATCAAGGTTGCTTGTTTTATGGGGAACAGACTGAGGAATCAGCTGGCTATTGTCTTCATGGCAGCTTAGTGATTTAAGTCTATGTGCTGGTGGACACACCAGTTTTCTTCTCATTGAAGAAACTCTTCAGCATAAGCACCTGGCCAATGCAGACTACAAACAGGATGACGGTCTCCCCGATGGACCAAAAGTGCACACGCTCGTGCAGGTCCTCTGCTCTGAGACGATCCTGAGCCTCTCGAAGACGATACCAGGTCTGAGAGTCTGAAACCACTTTGAGGATCTCATGGATAGACAGGCAGGCTGACTCCATCTGCATGATTTATTCAGAGATTCATATCAAATGCATTTATGCAGCGCATATGCTTGTGAGTGAATGCTGCTTGAGTTTCTCACCTGTGTGAGAGCTGTGGCTCTGTTCTGGTCAGGGAATAGCCGGTCATCCTCTCCGCTTCTGAAGTCCAGGTAAACAGTCTTGTGAGAGAAGGTTGAGAACTCATTGCTGAAGCAGACCTTGTACACTCCCTTCATGACTGTTGTGTGGGAAAAGCTGTCATACTGCTTTTTTCGTTCCTGATACAGCATGTTATTTATTGGATCTGTCACAAAACAGTCCACATCATAGTTTCCTCCGGCAATAACCTATATGAAAAGATAAGTGGTAATACTGAGAATATGTTTTTGCCCAAAAATGTTTAACATTGAAGTAAGGTTGGGTTTATATTCACACATTCGGTCAGTAACAACTTGTGACATACAGTACTCCCTAAATTGTTTACCTTGGTACTTTGAATTTTGAGTCTGAAATCTAGTGCAAGTTTGACACATTAATGCAACATTAGCATTAATTAATTGACTGTGCGAACAATGTACTTTGATAGTCATTGGCTGCATATATGATGTAACTATTTAGAATTTGCAAAGAATACATCTCTGACATTACATTATTAAGAGCCACATAATAATAGGTAAACAAACCTGGACAACCCAATGATAAACATTCACTTGCACAACATCTAATGGCCCACATATTACATTTAAGCAGACAAGTAATGCACTAAAAGCCGTTGTCGAAGTAGTTAACGTTACCTGAAAGTCTATATCAAACTTGACTCCTTGCTCTAGTTCCTCGTAAAAGCATTGCTTTTCGTTATCGGGCAGCTCAAAAGTTAATTCGGTGGCATTTACAAAGGCTATGTACACAGCCAAAAGTAAAAAGGAGTGTCTCATTATGTTTAAGTGGACAGAAATTAGATTATTCGTTAAAATGTGCAGAAAGCCTCCTCCATTAAGTTTCCGCAGGTTTGCCTGAACGCACTCAGCCACTTGACAGACCGATGCGAAACATCACTGACGTGGCAGGAGGACGGGGGACTTCCGGTTTTGTTCTTTCAAAATAAACGAAGGCACACTTTTTACATTGATTTGTGCACAGATATAACATATTTTATTACTATTATCATTATTTAAAATATACATTTATAATGCTATCATGTAAAATACTTTGCGTCTTGTAAAACTGCACTTGATTTATCGCAGTATTGTATGTTAGTGGATTATATTTATAAATGACCAGACATTTAAGAATATTTATTTTGGTAATTTTCTGTACTGGTTTTAAAAATTTAAAATCAAGTCCATTAAAGTTACTTAAACTAGGTCGTGTACATTCCATAATTAAACGCTTTCGTTGTTGACTAAATAACGGATGGGAAAGACACTTAGCAAAGCAAATTAATATTAATATTAGTAAAAAACAAAAATATAATATTTGAACAAGCACGGTTTCAAGCCTCGGCTGGGTCAGTTGACATTTCTGAGTGTTGATCCTTCTAATCAATGTTATCTTATCATTGACCAGGAAGAAAAAAAAAATAGAACCTTAATCACAGGCATTTAGTACAAGGTTACCCAAATATTTGTTCGTCCATGATTCAGTTTCTTGGCTCAACAGAAAGCTCATTAAATATATTTGTTTTAACTTTTATAGCAACTGTAAAAAGAAAATGTAAGTAGCACAGACCATTTTGTTCTGTCTCATAATTTACCAGGGAAGGCATTTTTAAACAACTCATTTATAATCGTGCTAGGATGTTTCAAACATGTAATTCCAAGGACACCAGCCTAAACCTTTGATACTGTGGGCAACAGTAAACAGATTTTTTCAAGAAGAGAAAGGGCACAGTTGAGGCCCTCGGAGGTGATTGAAACTATTGTTAGAAAATGCAGTTTTAAAATGTTTAATGAAAGTTTTAAACGGTGTCTGTGCATGACAGCCTCGTGTTTTACAGTCAGTATAAGGGCTTTTATTTTGAAATGTAAGACTAAAGCACGCGAGTCTACAGTAGAGTTTACTTCAAAGTGCTCTTTTCCTGTAGTGTGTAGAGGCGGAGACCTGCGTCTGCTCGGACACTTCTGCTGTTGAGGAGCACCTTATGTCACAACTGGACTGTTAAAGTGTCAACCAGGTGTAATTATGCAGGACTACGCAAACGCAGTGAAGGAGTTTGTAGAGGACCACTATACAGGTGTCACATTTGTCCTAATTACAGGTAAATCATTATGTTACTTTCATGTTACAAACCGTTTAGGAAAAAAATGATGGCTTCCGTGATTTATCATGTAAAACACGAGAAACATTGAATGACTGAATTAAAGATTAAACATATAAACATTATGTACGTACAGGCTATACATTAAATATCACATATACGTCATGCAACAGTTACGTAACTTGTATAGTGTTTCTCTTTCTAGATATGTTCAGCGAGACTTTAAAGTATATGCAAATCTTTTAGAGCAATCACAAAACAAAAAAGCACTAAAACATGTAATGCTCTGAAAACATTTAATTTCATATAAATGTAATTTTACTTTATTTTTTATATATATATTTTTTCTTTTTCAGAAACTATGTGAAATGTAATACCTCTTGTTCTTGTGGCTTTGAGTTAAAAAAAAAGTGCAGATTTTTCTATTTGAACTTCTTTCTCTGTAAAATGATTGTATAAACATCTGCCATCATGATCGGCTGAGAACCCTGATACAGTTATTATAATGGAGAATGTCTTAGATATGTCTTCTTAACACATCATCTATACGTGTTGCATATGTCCTGAACTAGATAACCTTTACCTGTACTCTTGAGATAAGAGTGTTATGAAAGCAGGCTAGAGGTGACAGAGATGGTGAGAGGAGTAATGTAAATGTGCCGGCAGGTGTCGGTCTGTTTGGATTCAGGAGATGGCTGGCCGGTGGAGTCTGCAGGAGCAAAGCCCGTCTGGATGGAAAAACAGTTCTCATTACCGGAGGCAACACTGGGATCGGTAAAGAGACAGCGGTGGACATGGCCAAGAGAGGTCAGATCATTTAAATTGAGCTCTAAGTATGTTTTTTTAAGTATTAGCCTATTCTACTATTAAGTAAAAGTAAGCATATTCATTGCAAAAGTTTAGTTTATTCATTCATTCATTTTCTTTTTGGCTTAGTCCCTTTATTAATCTTAGGTCGCCACAGTGGAATGAACCACCAACTCATCCAGCATATGTTTTATACAGCGGATGCCCTTCCAGCTGCAACCCATCACTGGGAAACATCCATACACACTCATTCTCACACACACACACACACACACACACACCTCAGACAAATTTCGCTTACCCAATTCACCTATAGCCCATGTCTTTGGACTTGTGGGGGAAACCAGAGCACCCGAAGGAAGTCCATGCGAACACAGGGAGAACATGCAAACACAAAAATGCCAACTGACCCAGCCGAGCCTCAAACCAGCGAGCTACTTGCTGTGAGGCAACAGCGCTACCCACTGTGCCACCACATTGCCCAGTAAAAAGTAAAACATCAAAGGACTACTTCACCCAAATAGAAAGAAAAATCTGTTATTAATTACTCTCCCTCATGTTGTTCCAATCTCCTGAGACCTTTGTTCAACTTTGGAGCATACATTAAGATATTTTAGATGAAATCCAAGAGCTCTTTCATTCTTTATTGACAGCAAAAATATTGCTAAAATATTTCATGTGACTCCAGTGGGTGACTGTAATCATACCAAGCTCCAAGAACGTTTTTGTGCAGCAAAAGAAAACTGCAGATAATGCTTGTTTTCTCTCCCCCGTCAGGTCAGGGTTTCGCATATACTATGGGCAGTACGTTATATTCCCCTTAGAGTCTGCAGCATGACAAATAAGTATTGTATTGCCCAGGGACAATATTTTTGCCAGGGACAGTTATTTAACTTCAGGCCACTGTAGCAATCAGTAAATGAGAGAGAACGAAGGCAGAAGAGGCCGGCCAGATTCATCTGCAGGTCACCAGGAAATGTCCCGGTGCTCCTTCTGGCCAGTCTGCCCCTGGTTTTGCCCGTAGTAAATGCGCACCTTTATCTGATGTGGAAGACACTGGCAAACAAAGTCATTTTTGCAGCACAAAATTGTTCTTGGAGCTTCATATGATTACAGTTGACTCACTGCAGGGCATGTAATGTTTTAATAAAGTTTTTTGTTTCGATCTCTGAGTTTTGAACATCTCAGGACCTTTGCTGACTATGGAGGATGAGAGAGCTCTCATAATTTTTGTTCTAAAGATGAACAAAGTGGTTTGAAATACAGTGGGTTTGAACACATTTGATAATCCAATTCAATTAATCTTTATTTGTATAGTTCTTTTACAATGTAGATTGTGTCAAAGCAGTGAATTGAAACAGTGTATTTGAGTTTTCAGAGTTTAAGTTTAGTTCAGTTCATTCAGTTCAGTTCAATATTCACTGCTGAGAGTTCAAACACTGAAGAGTAATCCATCGATGCGCAGCTCTACAAGTCCCGAACTATGCAAGCCAGTGGCTACAGTAGCGAGAAAAAAACTTCAAACATAGGGCGAAGGTGAAGGAGAAAAACCTTGAGAGAAACCAGGCTCAGTTGGGCAAGACCATTTCTCCTATGGCCAAACGTCTTGTGGAGAGCCGCAGTCTAGGTGCCGGAGGCTGGAGAATGCTGGATGTCAGCATAGACTCGTCTGTCCCTGGAGTCTCACAGGAATCAGACACATGCTCTCTACTCCTCCATGACCACCACAGCAGCTGCTACGGCCTGGTCCGGGAATGTGGAAACCTTGGGATCATCTCGTTGTGGGTTATTTTATTGCATCGTTGGTGCTGCATAGTCTCTGGGGGCTCAGGATGAGTATCCCCAGGTGGAAATAGAGAATAAAGAGAATAATTAGCGTAGCTGCTGTTCATAGGGTATATAAAAGAGATGCAAAAATCTGCGTGGAGCACATTCATGCATCATACTGCTATGTGATGCATTGAGTGTATGATAGGTTTTTAATCTAGTTTTGAACTGCAAGAGCGTGTCTGAGTCTCAGACATTATCAGGAAGGCTATTAAGGAGCCAAAAATGAAAAGGCTCAACCTCTTTTACTCGACTTTGCTATTCTAGGCACTACCAGAATCCCTGAGTTTTGAGTTGGATTGTAGCGAGACAGACGTTGGTTAGATAAACAGGAGCTAGATTATTTAAAGCTTTATAGGTAAGAACCAATATTTTATAATCAATATGGAACTTAACAGGCAGCCAGTGTAAGGAAGATAAAATTGGGATGATATGATCATATTTTCTAGACCTGGTAAGAACTCTTAACAGCTGCATTTTGTACGAACTGAAGTTTGTTAAGTTCAAAGGTGGACACACTTTCCAACCCTTTACAGTTAATATTAATTTATATTACTATTATAATATTAATTACAATTATACTAATTATTAATTAATATTATAATTAATTTATATTACTAATATACTATAATATGATATGCATTACAGTAACTAACACGAAATAACTGTGTGTAGCAGGTTATATTGTATCTCTCCACTTGCACACAATGAAATACTATTGAGAAAAAAAGGGGTTAACATTTGTTTATTGTTTAACATCTGTTACCTTAAAAGAAAAATTACTTAGAACGTGAAGAAGAAGCCAGTGTACAATGGCTGGTTGAATGTTTCTGTGCTCATTTTTGTTCAGACTGTATTTTCACAGACAATAAATCATTAAAAGATATATAAAAGTGGATATTTATTTACACATAGCAGCGGAGATGCAAAAGACTAGTTACATTTCACATTATATTTTTTATCAATCTTTGTGAAGGTCAATAAAAAAAAATTTGTCTCACTTTACATTGCATTGGGGCGACACGGTAGCACAATTGCCTCACAGCAAGATGGTCGCTGGTTCAAGTTTTGGCTGGGTCAGTTGGCCGTTTGTGTGAAGTTTGCATGTTCTCCCCATGTTGGCATGAGTTTCCTCCAGGTTTCCCCGGTTTCCCTCAAAGTCTAAAGACATGCAGTATAGGTGAACTGAATAAACTAAATTGGCCGTAGTATATGAGTGTGTGTGTGTGTGTGAGAGAGAGTGTGTGTGTGTGTGTTTGTGTGTGTGTGTGTGTTTAAATGATTGTGTATGAGTGTACTGTGTTGAAGCTGGAAGGGAATCTGCTGCATAAACATATGCCGGAATAGTTGGCGGTTCATTCTACTGTGGCGACCTCTGAAATAGAGACGAAGCTGGAGGAAAATGAATGAATGAATAAAATGTATAAATGAGATTTAGATTAAGATTTTATTATTAATACATTTTAACTAGTAAATTGGGTATTCATAATACATACAGTCTATAATCCTCCACTGTTCAGGTGCAAGGGTGATCCTGGCCTGCAGAGACATGAGTAGAGCACACAAAGCTGCAGAGGAGATTAGGAAGAGGAGTGGAAATGAGAATGTGACTGTGAAAATGCTGGATCTGGCCTCTTTGCAGTCTGTCCGAGATCTGGTCAAAGATGTACAGCAGTCTGAACAAAGACTGGATATCCTCATTAATAATGCTGGTAAGAAATGTCATGCAAATTATTATGCTAAAGAGTATTGTATGAAAGCATTTCATTTTTTAGCTATCAAATTGCAAACCATCAATGTATTTTTTTCATTTGTATTTATTTATTCAGTTGTTTACTCATTAATGTTTATGCAAATTTTTTCCCGGTATTAAATTGTAATTTTATTATATGTTATGTTATCATATTTATTGTCTTTGTTCCTTATTATGTTTTATATTAACAGTTAAATCATAAATATTTATTTCTCCCATTTATGTTTATTTGTGCATTAATTTATTCATTTGTTTTTACTTTTATCTATTACATTTATTTTTCTGCCAACAGGGGTAATGATGTGCCCAAAGTGGCATACAGATGAAGGTTTTGAGATGCAGATTGGAGTAAACCACTTGGGCCACTTCCTGCTTACAAACTTGCTTCTGGACCTGTTGAAGAAGTCAGCACCCAGTCGTATTGTCAATGTGGCTAGCGTGGCCCATGAGAGAGGTGTGAAACACAAAATGTTTTTAACTGAAATACTCATAACATATCACACTTGTTTGTATTCCTAAATAGTCTTTAATTTATTGTAAGCATTAATTACCCAGGAACGGCACTAGGCATGTATGTAAAATCTAACTTTTATTTAATTTTTCTTTTGTATGATTTGTGATTCTATAAAAGCAGTCTAAGGCGGATCTGTGTTGAGAAACGGATCAGTCTAGGGTGCATTTCCAAAAACCATCGTTAGCCAACTAATGTCACAAGTTCCATCGTTGCGAACATACTTCATTGAATAGGCATTTCCCAAATACATCAATTCAAGGAACATTCACAAACTGCGTCGCAAACTTGGACCTCTGGAACTGTAGTTAAAAACATAGTTCCTGGCTGTGTTCTATTTGCAGTAATCCCCCCTATGCCTATTCCTTTAGAACATTCTAAATGTTTGGGAAACGCACCGCTAAGTAAAGGTGCACTGATCACTTGCGAGGCTTGCTTGGCTTTTTAATATTTGCTTCCAACCCAAGTTCAAGGCATAGATTTTTGGTATCTTTAGAAAAGCCTGTCATTGACTCCAGCAACAGTGACAGTAATTTGGCCATTGTTGCTTCAAAAAATCCATCATCCACCCAGATTTCTTGTCAGGAACATATCTTACTCCCTATTCCTATCTATCTACTGTTTTGAGGGTGTAACGATACACTCAAGTCACGATTTACTATGTATCTCGATACTAAACTCATACCATATTATTTTGATATCATATGCTAAAAAACTGTTTAATATTAGTATTATTATTTTTATTTCTCTAACAGAAATATATTTTATAATAACATTATATTGTATAGGCATACTGTTGGTAAATATATTTTGTAAAGACTTGAGGCTATGGACTTCAGACTTTAGAATAAACTTTAAATTGGTGCTGGTCCCTCAATGGAAAAGACAAAGATGACATAAGAATACAACTATTCATTATTCTGAATAATTCCAAAATCAAATTATTGAAAACATTAACACATAATTAAAAATAAAATAGACCATTCATCATTCATTTTCAGATTCCCTCTTGCATATTCAACATTATATAGAGCAGGTATACTGGCACTGACATTCAGTACACATTCTCACGCAGAACACACATTGTGAACACCGGCATACTCAATTTTTGTCTTGAAAATATCACTTGCACATTTATTTTTACACAATGGTCATTCTAACTTTAAAACGATTATAATATTGCCTGAATTAGGGTTATTAGTTCAGTCATTAATCATTCTGATTGTTAACTGGATATAAAAATAACCCTGCATTTAAAAAATCATATTTGCGCTTTTATTGACTTAATATAATGTCTTATCCAAGCACAGCAAGAACATTATTACATCAATACTTTTCAGTGCTTTCCACAGGTATGAAATTTTCTTGCGGTGATAGCCGGATTGAAACACAACATTTACCCCATCACATAAATAATTAACTATATGCGACAAACAAAACAATTACATTTTTAACAATAATTTTATTTATTATACACTATTAAAAATGAAAAAAAAAACTACTATTTCTCTTACTTTTATGCTATTCGGGAGCCATGTGCACCAACTGACAGGTAAAATCTGTTTCTCTCTTTCAAGTACAAAGCAAACTTAAATGCCAAAGCATTTTAGATATGTACACTTAAAGTCAGAATTATTAGCCCCCCTTTGATTTTTTTTTTTTTTATATTTCCCAAATGATCTTTAACAGAGCAAGGAAATTTTCACAGCATGTCTGACAATATTTTTTTTTACATTTGGAGAAAGTCTTTTCTGTTTTATTAAGGGTAGAATAAAAGCAGTTTTTTTTTATATTTTTATTAATCATTTTAAGGTCAAATTATTAGCCCCTTTAAGCAAAATTTTTTTCGATAGTCTACAGAACAAACCATAGTTATACAATAACTTGTCTTATTACCCTGACCGGCCTAATTAACTTAATTAACCTAGTTAAGCCTTTAAATGTCACTAAGCTGTATAGAAGTGTCTTGAAAAATATCTAGTCAAATACTATTTACTGTCATCATGGCAAAGATAAAATAAATCAGTTATTAGAAATTAGTTATTAAAACTATTATGTTTAGAAATGTGCTGAAAAAGTCCTCTGTTAAACAGAAATTTAGGGAAATAATAAACAGCGGGACTTCAACTGTATATAAAATAGCCTATGTAATATATTAACACCATCAAATTAATAAAATAATAAGCAAATGAGAAATAAATGACAGAAAAAGAAATAAAAACAGACAATATCTTTAAAAACGATCGTAATTACAAGATTAAAATGTGTAAATTAGGCAAATGCTGCAAATGCGTTGATAACCCATTACTAATGGTGTACATGTATTTTGCAGCCAGTTTAGACTAGTCATTTCGTCCTCTTCGACTATAGTCATTTCAAAAATAATTTATCTAATGTTTCTCTCATGAGAGTAACTGCGAAGCCAAGCGAAAGAAGGCTTAAGTAAAAAGGTGACGCAAAAATGCATACAAGCTTTAGAAAGCAAAAGCATCCAGGACACTTTTGGAAATTTAGAAACCTAGGACGGAAGATTTTTTTTTGTCCCAAAAAGGCACATCTCTGTGGGTCTGCAGAGCACGTGAGACTGTCATGAGACTGCACATGAAATTGCAGGTGTTTGGCTATATTGAGTGGATACAAAAAACTGTCAAATTAAGTTAATACTTCAATTATTTTCTTTTTGGTTTAGTCCCTTTATTAATCTGGGGTCGCCACAGCGGAATGAACAGTCAACTTATCCAGCAAATGTTTTATGCAGCGGATGCCCTTCTAGCTGCAACCCGTCACTGGGAATAGGCTAATAATAGGTAAACAAAAAAAACCCCACTAAACATACTTGGGCGGCTGTTAATATACCTGGGAGGCCCACCCAAGTAAAGTATATGTGAGAGAAGCACTGCTTTTGCTATTCTTTCATTCAATTGTTTGAATTTTACAATGTATGTGCCTCCTAACCCCAACCCCAAAAATTGCCCACCTGGGATTTCTATCAAGCCACCACTCCGTGATTGGCAAAAACCGGGCCTGATTGTACCGCCTTATCAAACTCCTTGGCATGATGTTCAGTTTTGACAAAATGTGACAAAGTAGGTCAAAGTGCAGTCATTGTATTACTTCATAATGTAAATATTTATGTAAAATTTTTATTTCGGAGCATGTAACCCACTGAACCTTTCATCTTTGTGTGTGTTTGACAGGCAAGATTAACTTTAATGACATAAACATGGATAAAGACTATGATCCATACCAGAGCTATTATCGGAGTAAACTGGCTAATGTTCTGTTTACCCGTGAACTAGCTATCAAGCTAAGAGGTAAACCATAAACAAATGTTCTTCACTCTAATAGTTTAAAAAAAAAAACATAGATGTCACACTGAACCATACTGCGTTTAAAGATTCTCTCTGTATATTATTCAGACACAGGAGTGACCACTTATGCTCTCCATCCTGGCGTAATCCGTACTGAGCTTGGACGACACGTTTTCTCCAATCTGTGGAGGAAGCTCATAATCCTTCCCTTTTATTTCTTCTTCAAAAACCCTTGGCAGGGAGCTCAGACTACTATCTACTGCGCAGTGGACGAGAGTCTAAAGCACAGCAGTGGTCTTTACTACAGGTCAGTAGCTCTAACTGGGATTTTGGAAGTTTTTTGCTTATCACGGCATGTGTAAATGTGTGACCGTGTAATGGACAACATCGTAATTATACGCAGAGATATGGTAAAACATTCTGTCTATTTTATGGTCAAATTGTTTGACATTTTATTCTGTTTTTGTTCATAAATTATATGCATAACTGAGTAGAATCAACTTTTTATTCTATAAGAAAAGATAAGCATAAGCTATAATGGAAACACTTTTACCAAACAAATTCTAGTATGCACATTAAAAAAAGTCATGCGATTTTGTTATGAGAGATCATGTGATGATAAAAATGTGTGCGAATGGATAAACCAGCAGGCTGAGCACATTGTAAAGCATCCGAAATGTTGTTTGGTCATTCTAAAATGCCTTAACCATCTCAGTATTAGTGTTATTATATTATTAATAACCTCCAGAACTGGCAAGTCTCAAGCCTTCAAATACCACCACGTGTTCATTGCGTGTCGGCATTGCCTTTTGAGACGCAAGTAATTTATTAAATAAAGAAAAGATTGACGCAGCTTCTGCTACTGCAGAAATTCAGTTTTTTGATAATTGACACCAGGTAATTTATTCGGACGTCTTTTATGCGATAATCCAGTTTTGTGCATAAATTTAATTAGCATCTTTAGTGGTAACATAGCTTATGTTATTCAAATGAACCACAGTATTACTGCAATCACACCAGACTTTATTTGCTTGACCCAGTGTGAACGCACTCTCAGTCTTTTAATAAGTTGATAACGGATAAGAACAAAACCGCTTGTTTGTAAATCTTTTATTCACACAGTGTAATTTGAACATTAACATTCAAGTATGATCATTTCACTCTGTTATTTGGTCATTTTGCAGTGATTGTGCACCTAAAGAGACTGCTCCTCAGGGCAGGGATGATGTTGCGGCCCGCAGACTGTGGGATCTCAGTGCTTCCATGGTGGGCCTGGCTTAAGACAGCACCAAATCACTCTCATTTAAAAAAAAGAAAAGTGTCACCTTTTAATGGCTAATTTTCACATTCCAAGTTTTCACACCAGCACTTATTCTTACTTTATATAAAGTACAAAGAGCCGGGTTGAATGTTTCAGCATGCAGGATGACGTATCAGAGAATTAACCAAAATGCCTATGCAATAAAATTGCAACTCGACGTGTGAATGTATACGTTAAATAATTAGTGAGATTTTATATACTGCAATGCTATTAGTCAATGCGTAGCTTTACAAATTAGACATTTGATCTAACTTTTAATTAAAAGTCATTTGTGTTATTTGATACAGTGTATCAAAAGAAGAATTTTAGTGTAAAATCAGGTTTTACAAAGTCTTTTTTTAAATGCTCAAATTAATTTAATTGCTATTCTGTATAAAATGTGCCCCAATTTTTACAAAATGCTGTAGCATGACATCTGGAATAAAATTTTTATTTTTAATGCCAATTGTCTTCGCTTCAAGAGGGTTTATATGAAATTCAGTTGCTTACAGAATGTTTTTATTATTTGTCATAAAAAGATGATCAAGTAGCACAGACATGCTCTGCCAGTTTAAAAAATCAAAAAATTAAGAAAGTATATATATATTTTTAAATGTTAAGCAATGTTTTTGATTGGCAATAATCAGCCTATGACGAACCTATCCATTCCCCATCCAATTTTTTTTATTATTAACTGTTCTTTCTGGAACAAAAAGGTCTTTAATATCATTATGCAATGCATAATACTGTTTTAACCTTTTTAAGAGTTCAGAGATGAATGTAATTGAGAAATGTGCTATATTTGGTAAAACCAAATGAATCAGAACACTGAATTTACTGATTATTCACATTTAAATATACAATATTCAATGCAACCTACAAGGTTATACTGAGCTTTCCATATACTGTACATATACATGCATACACCTGCATTTCATTATATCTTTAGTAAAATATTTAGACAAATATCCAATCAAAATGAGTTCTCACTGGGACCTTAATTTAATATAAATGGTAATATTCATAAATATGACAACAATTGACAGGAAAAAAAATCAGAGAAAATCAGTGTCTGTATCAATAAACACATTAACAACATCAATTAAGTTATGTGCCATTTACAAAAAAAAAAAATGCAATTTGACCACATTTTCTGACCTGAGCACCCAGCGGACACAAAGCTGTATGTGTCAGCCACATGCCCTTATCAGTTCTCCGTCCAACGGATTCACCATCGTTAGCTGGGCTGGAAAAGTGATAAGGAGATGTGAGCGACCATTTGACCAAATACTCAACAGTCTCACTGAGAACTTCCACACAAAACTCCAGCACAAGATCCCACCTGCTCTGTCGTCCGTCTTCAGGACACGTCTCACCACTGCATCTGACATTACCCAATTCTGAAGAACATCTATGACTTTTCCTGCACCTCTCAGTAGCTTTCAGCCAGGATGAGTCCAAGTCCGCCTTGCACAAGCCATAGATCTGAAGCAGGAGATCTGCGTGGCGAGCTGTACGTTTGCCACTGTGGACACACCCCACACATGAGTTTTATTTCCTCTCCACCCCACCTATCCGCAAGCCAACCTTCACACGCTATTGGTTCACATTTGGGGATCACAGGTCAAACCCCCTTAGCAGCGAGAAGTGGATGTCGATTTGCTGCTTGTGCTGTCGGTCATGAACAGATCGACCAATGGAATGGGAAAGGCCAGGTCTGGTGGGCGTGTCCATCCCAGGTGTGACTGAAATACACATTCCAGTGTTCGCATACCTGTCTGCCCATCTCCTCCTCTTCTTCTGCTTCCCCGACTGCGACACACCCTCTTCAGGCAAGAAACACAACACTTCCTGCTGTAGTTTTCATGGGCTTTCACCTGCCAAAATCACTCAGCCTCACTTGTCGCTGACTGCCAGATAAGAGATCAAGAGATAAGAAGTTGTACGTAATGATTTATAAGCTATAATGGGAGAAAATTTGAAGAGTAATTCAGTCCTTGGCATTTGAAATATTAGTTAATCCCCAAAATAAATTAAGTAATAAATAAATAAATTCTGTCAGCTTCTGTTTACTCGCTATCATGATGTTTCAAACTTGTATGACTCTTTTGTTCTTCTAGTGAACACGAAAGGAAACTTTTTCTCCCACTTTTAACTACTCTATACTTGCATTTAAGTGTGTTCTCCCCGTGTCTGCTTGGGTTTCCCCCACAATCCAAAAACATGCGCTATTGGCCCTGTGTGTGAATGAGAGTGTATGGATGTTTCCCAGTACTGGGTTGCAGCTGGAAGGGCATCCACTGTGTTAAAAATATCCTGGATAAATTGGCAGTTCATTCCGCTGTGTCAACCCCTGATGAATAAAGAAACTGAGCAAAAGAGAAATGAATTAATTTTCTTTTTAAATGAAATATTTTAAATGATTTTTTTAAGTACACTTTTGACCCATCGCTTACACCCTAACATATCAAATCACTTTTATTGTCAGATCATCAGCAGCATGTGTTTTATGATGAGTGAAAAGCGTAGGCGCTTGCTCAGACAGCGCAAAATACAATGACATAATCCAAAACAAAATACTATTATCAGTTATATACAGTCTGTGCAAAAGACAGTTAAAAATGTCAAAGAAAACAAACATTACAGACTTATGTAGACGCAGATAGACAAGTACACAGTCAAAAGGTGTGCTCATGGACCCACCCACTAATACAATGGTTCTCAAAGTGGGGGTCGGGACCCCCCGAGGGGTCACGGGACAATGAAAGGGGGTCGCCTGGTGGTTTCCAAAAATCTATTTATTTTTATTAAACCATAAGAATTACCATATTTTATCCAAAAAAAAATAGTCGTTTATACCATATATAGTTACTATAGTAGCTTATAGTTACTACTTCTATTGGATTGCAACCCCTGGGGTAATTACATTGTATTAAAGACACAGCAATAGCGTCAGATGCAGCAGATTTCATAACACCCGGTTAAACTTTGTGCCCCATTTCCAGCTCTCATACATAAAAAAAATTAAAAGAAGACTGAATGGACTTGGGTCCATTGGTGTGTGTGCGCCATTGCATGCAAGGTTTCTGTATTTATAACCACCTCAGAGTATATTGGGGGTCGCGAGTCACTGGCATTGTCATTTTGGGGGTCGCGGCCTGAAAAGTTTGGGAACCCCTGCACTAATACATAGATTTACTAAATTTATGAGAATTTCTAATTTTACTTTTGGTTGCATCTTTATTTTGTTTGTACATTGTTGTAGCACTTTGAGTTTAAGAAAAGTAATTTAAAAAATGTATTATAATTCCTTTATTCATTTTCCTTCGGCTTAGTCATTATTCAGAAAAAAATTACTCAACTGTATTCAAAAACTACAACAACATTCATTCAATCATTTTCCTTCAGCTTAATACCTATTTATCAGGGGTCACAACAGAGGGATGAACCGCCAACTATTCTAGCATGTGTTTTTTTTGCAGCAGATGCCTTTCAGGCCGCAACCCAGTACTGGGAAACACCTATACACACTCATTGACACACACACTCATGCACTACGACTAATTTAGTTTATTCAATTCACCTATAGCCCATGTCTTTAGACTGTGGGGAAAACAGGGAAACCTGAAGATACCCACGCAAACACGGGGAGAATGTGCAAACTCGACACAGAAATGCCAACTGACCCAGCCGGGACTCGGACCAGCGACTTTCTTGCTGTGAGGCAACAGTGCTAACTACTGAGCCACCGTGCCACCTGTTGTATATAATAATTACAATTATAATATATAATAATATATAATAAATATTTTTGTATTATTAATATGTGTAATTAATTTGTGCAATACAATATGAATGTAAGTCCATTGCTTTAATGTTTTTCTGTAAGCGCATAGTAATCAAGCCACTTAATATAAAGTGGGACCAATTCTATTAAGGAACACTGGACCCCTGTAGATTTTTACTTTTTGGGTTTTATTTTGTAGAGAGAAAGAAAAAGGTTTTATCGGAATATAAAATTTGCATTTTTGGTAACTCTCCATTTAACAGCTGCAAGCAGTAACATGCATTGCAATCATCATCATATTAAATTTTCCCCATGCGCAGATACACCGCAGAAAGCAGGGTGTGTGTGTGTGTGTGTGTGTGTGTGTGTGTGTGTGTGTGTGTGTGTGTGTGTGTGTACACTTGTATCTCTGAGTGGAGTGAGAATGCAGGTTTGTAGCATTCCAGCGAATACAAACTCACTGTATGACGAGTTAAAACAAGTAAAAAGCTTAATCATCCCTCAGTGCAGCTAGAAACTATCACCTGCAATCATCTGTAATGAATGTCAGATGCATAAAAATATATATAATGCTTATGTCTGGTACAAGATAGGCTGAAGGGCACACACATACACACACACGCACACAAGGGAGGGGGCCAGAAAACCTGTCCAACAAATTAATTCACGCTCGTCTCTCAATTATGACTCAACAAATGCTTCACACATGGCATGCTGTGTATTGGTTTATTCTTAACACTTATTGGACTAAAACGTTCAACATGTATAATTGTTTAATATAATTGAATTATGTAATTCTATTTGACATATTTGTCAAAATTGAGTTATTGACATATTTTTATTAAATAACAACTTTTTACATTATGGGATGTTTTTTATAAGTTATAAAAAAACAAGTGTTACACACATACTGTCTGCTATGGAATGCAAACACTTTGAAGCTCAATATCTCAAAATCATTCAGAATGCAGATAGAACCTTATAATTCTAAGATGACGAAATGTTTTACAGTTAGAGCTTGCTTTATATTCTTAATAATAATACTTTTAATTTAATGGCACCTTTCTAGTCACCTAAGGTCACCTTAGAAAATACTGACATGTAGAAAAAACAACTATTAAACAACACATAAAAGCAATGGAAATATGTTTTAAAAAATAGAAACATATCTGAATACAAACATAAATATCATAAATACAAAAAAAAAACACAAATAAGATCATTAAATATAGTCTTAGGGAAACTTCCCATATAGCAAAATTTCTCTGGCCCACCTCTGGCCCACACAATCAGGTTTTGCTTTGCCCACATGCCGCAGTGAATTACGGTACATGACTGGACCAAATCTGGCTTCCAGACAACGGCCAAGCACAAACCATATCTGGGCCAAGTCTCAGCCAAGTTAATAACTCATAACTGGGCCTGAACTGGGCCAGATAGGTTGGTGTGTCACGATTGCAATGAAATTGATAAACCCATGGAGTGATGCGCTTTAGGCACACTATGGGCACGCTTTTTCTCAAAGTGACCTGATTGGTAGAATTTTTTTTCTTTACTCAAAAATGATTTTTAGTGTATTTTAAATGTGGGTCAAGACTGGCCAAACTCACATGGCCCAATAATCAAATTTTTAAATCTGGGCCAAATACTACGTTTTTCATCTGGCCATCTGTATGCCAGTGCCGGATGAATGCCTGCTGTGCCAGCTTTTTGCCAAATCTGGGCCAGAATTCTTTGCTACTAGGGTTGGATACATAAATTGGTCTTAAGAAGAGATTTAAAAGTGTGAAGGCCTACACTCAAAACATTGCATTCCTACCATTTATAACCTGAAACACAATAATAATTCAAGCTCTGCAAATCCAGCCAGAGGCGCTTAGGAAGAGAACTTGGATTTTGAGTTCTCTGATGAACACTGGGAGCATGTTCTTGAGCTCACACATACCTCTTCTATGTGCAAGACATGGGCTTATACAATGTAAGATTCTACATCGGGTTTAATACACTAATGCTAGACTTGCTAAAATATACCCCTCTGTCAGCGATGCATGTAATAGGTGCAAACAGTCACCAGTGAATCTCGTCCACATGTTGTTGGAATGCCCTAAATTATTTGATTATTGGAATAAAATATTTAAAACTCTGAAAGATGCATTCGACATAGATCTGGATACAAATCCACTTCTGGCCATTTTTGGGTTGGCAGTAGATGCTAACCTTTTAGCAATGGCTTTAGCTTTTACTACTTTAATAGCGAGACGTCTCATCCTTTTAAAGTGGAAACATGTCTCTCCACCCTCTTTTTTTGCGTGGATAAAAAAAAGTGTTTACTTGTATTAAATTGGAAAAAAATTAGACTATCACTTACTGGTTCTTTAAAGAAGTTGTGGGCCCTTTTTTAGATTATCTGCTGGCAAACTCTTGATTCTTAAGCTGAGCAATAATATATAAATACATATTTTATTTTTAATTTTTTTTATTTT